AGTGCGAGAGAATTTCATGCCTTGACTTCAATCAATTGAATAAAAGGTTTAACACAAAAATTGTATAGAATCAGCTCTTGAGTACTTAAAAATAATTTCCTGTCGCAATGCACGCCTTGAATGTGTTATGGTTCAGCTGAAAATAAGTAGAATCACCTGATAATCACTAAATATTATCCAATTTTAATTTCAGCCACGACTCCTTACTGCCAACACAACAAAATACCTCAGCAGTACTGTCCATCCCCCTCTGGCGATTACGAGCCCATAGTACCTGAAGTAAACGCAAACTTATTCTCCTGGACACAAGGAATAGTGTTCCACTCTCCTATTTATTTCCTGATCGAATTTTCTCATTGTCCCCTTCCTCGTGGCGGACAGAGTGAAGGATTAGGTATATGAACCAGCAGGACACCACTAGAGGAAGTGAACATAATTTTATGTTACAGTTGCGGAATTTTGTTCCTATCTTCCCTGTGGTAACCTATGTCTCCAAAAGGCCAACCTATATAACCTAGAGTATACATATCCACCAATCACGTCCATCGTTACACCATCAATACCCATTCATTCAAAATAGTGATACTACTACTAACGCTGCCGTTTGGAGTCACGGATTACCACAGTGGGAGTAAAAATACATTTCCGCAACTGTGCCTGCATGGTGTCCGCAGTCAAGCGAAAAACACTTTCATCTTTACTACTATAACAGATTGGAACACGTTACAAGGCCATATTAAAACCAATTATGGTATTAAGCAATTCAAAGCTAAAACAAAGAAATACATAACAGATGAAGCTACAGCAAGAGAAGAGAGTGAAGTTCTATATTATTAACCACTGAATGTTGTAGCGATGAGCCAGCCTCGGATAGTCCAAGTGCAATGTAATGCATGTTCGATTTTACCAAAAAAAATTTCGCTAATACTTCCCTCCAGGAAATAACCAGCTGACAGATTTGTCGACTATCCTTAGTCAAATTGCTTTTCTGTTTACCACTGTTGTTTGCATACACTGACTCGGCACACCTCCCATGGCCTACGTGCACCGCATTATCCGTATACCTGCAACGTCTATATTCATACTGTATTGTACAGTATAACTGCATAGTTTATAAACATGCTTATCCAACTGAAAACCTATATGACAATTTTACTCAATTATTATTATTTTTATACTTCTTTATTTATTTTCATTTCTGGTTTATGTTAGCCCCACCAAACAGAGAATATTAATTGAGCCACCTTCATTTTGCTACTTATATTTTACAGTATCACATCCAGATTAACCACAAAAAACAGACACTGAAGCTGAACGAACTAAGCAAAAATGCAGGATTGAAACTTCTCCTGGTCAAAATTAAACCTTCTATAGTATCACCAATTCACAGCTTATAAATACCAACAATTAAATTTTTGAGATAGTCACGGAAAACACACATCCGGGACAACTGGTGTCAAGGAAAACATCAGTCAGATTTGAATATTAGTCAAGGATCACCTAAAGAACAGACACCTTAGTTTGTTTCACCCGATGATTAAACAACCAAATATTACATGAGAGGTTTAAACAAGTTAAATAAGCTTGGATGTCTAATATCCAGGTGATCCTTAGTCAAAAATGGAATAAAATGGCATTGAAAGAAAAATAGTGAAAATATAATGCTACTTAGTCCTAAAAGAAAAAAAATATTTTAACTGATGCACAATACCAGTGTTGACAATCCACGTGGAAGATTAGGATTAAATGCAAAAGAAATTCCAAACTACTCAAAGAAGTATGTTACGTTATGTGGTGTACACAAAGGGATGAGATCATAAACTAAAGTACGATTTATCATTTAGTTCAAGGGAATTAAAAATGGCTGAAGGCGACCATATTACATGAACACTATCACCTGCAGGAAGATAGAGGTGTACTCGGCTGTGGTCCAGCAGATTAGAAAAGACCCGGTACAAAATTCATATTAACAGACGGATAGACGGAACTAGAAAATCCCGAGGCGTTCAATGAATAGAAAAGTTCAAGAAAAATTTTGTATATAGACACATGGGTGATGGGGACCCTCATCCTGTAGTTGTCTGATACTTAAGATGTGGTGGACAATACAGTAGGTACAGTAGACATGTCTATACATCTTTATTCAACATGAAACAAGTAAATAAAAATACCAGGGTGTCTATAATGTATTCACCTGATTATGAAGCTCAATGAAAATTTTACTGTAAGAAATATCATAAAAAGGTTTGCTGCAATTAACAAAAAACTCAGGTAATCTTTTGACATGTATTTGACAGGACTGTTACCAGCGTGAATTGTGACAGCACAGCAGTACAATGGCGACCGTGAGGGTGAAAGCAATGTGTGTGCTGTTGTTGTGGGAAACCAGATCTCCAGTTACTGTACAGAGACGTTTCTGATGTGAATTCCAGAAAAATCCACCGACAGAGCAATCACTCAAACACTTATTCACTGAAACAGTTTCAAGTAGCTGGCAGTGTGCTACATCAGAATGGAGCAGGTAGGCCTAGTTTGTCTGTAGATACAGTCGCTGAAATTCAGGAGACGTTCAGCCGAAGCCTTATAAAATCTATCCGTCGAACAAGCCCGGAGCTGCGAATACCGCGAGCAACAGTGCACAAGGTCATTCACAAGAGGTTGAAAATTTGTGCTTACAAATTGCAAATCATCCAGAATCTTAAGCCTGATGACAAACCTCGACGTGAGCAATTTGTTGTTGAAATTCTCGACCGTATCGATGAAATGAGCATTTGTTAATAATGTCGTTTTCAGCGATAAATCGACATTCCACCTGTCTGGTAAAGTCAACAGACATAATTAACGCATATGGGGATCAGAAAATCCCCATTCATTTCTTGAACACGAGCGTGACAGTTCCCAAATAAAGGTTTGATGCGCACTCGCCTACAACCGTGTGATTGGGCCATTTTGCTTCTATGAGAACACTGTGAACTCTACTAATTACATAGATATGCTTGAATTTTATGCTGTACCTCAGCTGGAAGATATGCAGCCCCATGTGTTCTTTCAGCAAGATGGCGAACCGCCATACTGGGACTTACAAGTGCGCGATTTCCTCAATGAAAACTTCCCTACTCATTGAATCGGGCGTGATGATCCCATTCCTTGGCCTCCTCGTTCCCCGGACATCACGCCTATGGAATTCTTTTTATGTGGCTACGTGAAGGTCAAGGTGTACGCGTTGAAGGTTAATATCATCACAGAGTTAAGACACCGGATTGAAGAGGCACTGGATTCCATCACGCTAGACATGCTTCATGACACCTGGAATGAAATCAGGTTTACTGAAGTGCAGTTATGTGTGCCAAATACATGTCAAAAGATTACCCGAGTTGCTTTATTAATTGCAGGAAAGTGTTTAATGATTTATATTACCAGTATAACTCCTGCTCACATCTCATTCGGTGGATTAAGAATTATACACTCGAGCACAGGGATGTTAAATGACGGGGTTCGCCACAATAGACATATCATGTTTCACTGTAAATTCCCCACAACAACATCTTAACGGGCATGGCTGGCGGCGCCCAAATCTCCTACGTGGACATCCGCACTTACACAGCTGCCAAAGGTCTCATTTTACAGTGTTATATTTCTTGATAAATGTAAAGGAAATTCCTTGAATTTCCTTAAGAAAAGTGTACCCTTTAAAATCTAACTCCATACATTGAAAATCTGTGAATTTAAGATATAACTTTAAACTGTTAAGGAGTAAACCACAAACTAATTAGTATTAAGTTCTACATTCTTTTATTATTTGAATAAATTGAACCACTCTTCTAAACTAGTCATTTGCAATGATAGCCGACTGGTGTTAATAAACATAAATTTTTAATGTAGGTGTTGATCATTAACTTCAAGCTCAGTATCTATATTTATGGACGCTTTTCCTGCTCTGGCCACAAGTTTCACATTGTGTAAAAGTCTGTCACATTGTTTAGTGGTGAGGTGGCTGGTGGTGCCGGGTGAGAATCGTTCACTGGTGTATTGTGTTGTGTGACGTGAGCTGCACGTAGAGTATGTAAACACTAAATACTTACTGTGCCGAGACAAATACCGGTTATTGTAACGACCTGGCTAGTGTCACGTGACTCACTTATATAAACGGTAATCATTTATTGTACCCGTGGCGCGTTCTGGCGGTATGGGGATAAACAAGAACATATAATAAAAAACAAAGACCAGTTATTTAATGAGACGTGCTCGGTGAGGTGAGGTGAGGTGAGGTGAGGTGAGGTGAGCTACACTAACAGCATACATAAACAGTGGTCATTTGTTGCACCTGTGACGAGATCGGACGGCAAATATGAACATCTAATGAACAACAGACCTGTGATTAAGTGTGACGTGAGCCATACTCATCCTGTTACAACTGTTGCGTGCACTGACCAATTAGCAGACAATAACTAGAAGTTGTGTACAGTGTACTTGGGTTGATGTTACAGCATTATGAATATTTATACCATGAGTAAAAACCTTTACGGTTGTAGTGGTTCACCACCCAATAAATTGTTTATTATTGTTTATTTTTTTCGTGCTAGATAACATTACAATTGTCAGGAATATTGGTAAAAGTCTTGTGTAATAGGTGTAGTCAACGTGATATTCCTCTACAGCAATGGCGAAGAATGACGACTTTGGCCGAAACTAACCGATACAACTTTATGGCACTGCAATGAGGCCATGACACTAACAGAAACAGTGTTTGAGGGTGTGACACTAACAACAACAGTGTTTGAGGGTGTGACACTAACAGAAACAGTGTTTGAGGGTGTGACACTAACAACAACAGTGTTTGAGGGTGTGACACTAACAACAACAGTGTTTGAGGGTGTGACACTAACAGAAACAGTGTTTGAGGGTGTGACACTAACAACAACAGTGTCTGAGGGTGTGACACTAACAACAGTGTTTGAGGGTGTGACACTAACAACAGTGTTTGAGGGTGTGACACTAACAACAACAGTGTTTGAGGGTGTGACACTAACAGAAACAGTGTTTGAGGGTGTGACACTAACAACAGTGTTTGAGGGTGTGACACTAACAACAACAGTGTTTGAGGGTGTGACACTAACAACAACAGTGTCTGAGGGTGTGATACTAATAAGACACCTGAGTGCCAGTTTTAAAAGAGCTCACACCATCATGTCAACACGGAAGTTAGGACGAGTGATACTCCTGGCCGCCTCCGTCTCCGTCTACCTCACGGGCGTCCAGGTAGTGTTGGAGGAGACGCTGGCTCAGCACCCTGGCGCTGAAACCTTCAACAACGGTGAGAAAGGAGAGAGTGACTGACTGACTGGCTGCTGACTACGTTGTAAACAGTTTACCTTCACTTCACTATCATGTTAAAGGCAGTAAACTAATCCTTCAGAAAGGCTACGATGATATATAATTCTCTCCGTATATATATATATATATATATATATATATATATATATATATATATATATATATATATATATATATATATATATATATATATATATATATATATATATATATAATATATATATATATATATATATATATATCAGTCTGTGTTATAGTTCCTTGATCCTCTCACAAAAATTTTAAGGTCAACCACACCAGCAGCAAGAGGTCAAGAGTAGAGGTCGCTTAACCAAGAGATTACACACCACACAGGAGGTCCCGAGGCCACTCCAGGGTGGTACAGACCACCTGGTGCTGGAGGCGAGACTCGAAGCGTCTGGAGTGACGGTGTGGGTGGACGGTGTACAGGTAACTTGGTTACACTTACCTCACTGTACTATAGTATCATGGCTCTCCTTACTTTCTCATATAACGGAATGTGGTTTTCATAGGAACAGTGCAATACAGTATACCACATTGAATATTAGTAGTCCAAGAGCTGGGGGGGGGGGTATTATCACCCGTCTGAGGCCAAAGTATTTCCTAGCTGTACATTATATGTTTAAGTCAAAATGCTATTTCTTACTTGCCACAGCCTGTACAATAATATATAGGAGAAGGTTTAAAATCAGTACCGCGTTGTCGCGTTTTTAATGATGACGGAATATGACTTCGCTGTAGTCGCAGATCAGATAGGGCGATTCATTTGGTGTACTGGTGTCAATATTTTGATGCAAAACAGTAAAGTTCACATAGTTTCTACTCGTTCAATAATACTATCAGTACAGTAATACTATTGTTTTAAACTACTTTTAATCTTATATTATTCATTTACAATCATCACTAATCATTACTGTCAATTATCAAAGCATGCAACATCCAATTTAATACAATGTTTACTTAAACTCTTACAAGTGTACATACAGTACTGTACTGTAAACAAGTATATAGTATACACAAGTTAATAATGTACATACTTATGTCTCTATCAAAGGTGTACAGACTATTCAACAAGACCCTGCCATGGGCTGATAATCTTGCCCGCCTTCACGCTGGGGTTCACCTGCTGACCCTGCACGAGAGGTCAGGTCAGGTTATGCGGGCCGCTACCTACCTGACATGGCAGCCGGAGAACAACAGGCAGCTAAGCCAGGCACTGAATGATGCCAGGGACGGCCGCCTCCTGCTACTGCTGGCCACAGTGAGTGCCAGAACATAGAATCACAAAATCTATTCATGAGTTTAGGTTTAGCGAGCAGGTGTGGTATACAGTATACCTCGTGGTGACCCTGAAGATGATACCTTTACCTATGGGCTGTGTAACCTGTGGGGTTCCCCAGGGGTCAGTACTGGGCCCACTCTTGTTCATAATCTACATAAACGATCTAGATACTAGGAACAGCAGTGACATAAGCAAGTTTGCGGATGACACCAAAATAGGGCGGCAGATTAATTCAGGGCAGGATGCCAATGCACTATAGGAGGATTTAAATAAACTGCAGGAGTGGTCAGAAAATGGCAAATGAAATTCAACACCAGCAAGTGCAGCGTGCTTAATATTGGAAAAACAAATACTGTCAATGTATACAGCCTTTACAACATCAACCTAGAGAAGTCGACTTGTGAAAGAGACTTAGGGGTACTTGTAAGCCAGGACCTACGGCCTAGATAACAGTGCGTTAATGTTCGAAATAAGGCAAACAGAGTATTAGGTTTTATATTTAGAAGTGTCAGTAATAAGAATGCGGAGGTCATATTGCAACTACATCTTGCGCAAGTCAGGCTGCATCTCGATTATGTTGTTCAGTTCTGGTGCCCTTATTATAGAATGGATATCAATTCACTGGAGTCGGTGCATCGAAGAATGACGAAAATGATTCCGGGACTCAGAAACCTTCCATATCAAGATAGGTTAAAGAAACTAAACTTGCATTCCCTAGAAAGACAAAGAGTGTGGGGAGATATGATAGAAGTATTTAAGTGGGTGAAAGGAATCAATAAAGGAGATATAGATAAAGTTCTTATAATATCCGAGCAGGATAGGACTCAGAGCAACGGATTTAAGTTGGATAAGTTTAGGTTTAGGAGGGTGATAGGAAGGAACTGGTTCACAAATAGGGTGGTGGACGAGTGGAACAATCTGAGCAACTTTGTAGAAAGTGCTGGAATGCTGGAAAGTTTTAAAAGGAGGCTAGATAGATTCATGGATGATAGAGAGTGGTAGTAACTCTCGAGAGGAGCTGCCATGTACAGGCCAACCGGCCTATTGCAGACTCCTTATTTTCTTATTTTCTAATGTTCTTATGTATGGTCACAGGTGTATCTATAGTTATTACAAGTGATCGTGGGCCCTTCGTGCCCGGTGGCGAGCCCGGTGGTACAGTTTACCAAGGCGCGAAAGTTCGAACGCTCGTGCTTGGCTATCGTGCAACCACCGTCCGACTGACAGCGTACAGCGACATCGTTTTCCAGCGTAAATGGTTAATTAATTAATGCCTTCCTAAAGAAACCATCGACATGGGACCAGGTTTGTTCCACTCTACGATTTTTTTTGAGCTTTTTCCACCAAGTTTGATGAAAAACGATTGTGCAGTTTCGGCTGCCCAGAACAGACACACACACAGACACACGGCTATTCCTATAGTATATTAGAAAGATGGTCATGGTTGTTATAATCATGGTGGTGGTTGTTATAATCATGGTGGTGGTTGTTATAATCATGGTGGTGGTTGTTATAATCATGGTCGTGGTTGTTAAAATCATGGCCATGGTTGTTATAATCATGGTCTTGGTTGTTATAATCATGGTCGTGGTTGTTATAATCATGGCCGTGGTTGCCGGTGGTTGTTATAATCATGGTCGTGGTTGTTATAATCATGGACGTGGTTATTATATCATGGTGGTGCTTGTTATAATCATAGTCGTGGCTGTTATAATCATGGTCGTGGTTGTTATAACCATGGCCGGGGTTATTATATTCATGCTTGTGGTTGTTATAATAATGGTCGTGGATGTTATAATCATGGTCTTGGTTGTTATAATGATAGTCGAGGTTGTTATAATCATGGTTGGGTGATATAATTATAATCGTGGATTTTATATTCATGGTCGTGGTTGTTATAATCATGTTTGTGGTTGTTATAATCATGGTCGTGGTTGTTACAATCATGGTCGTGGTTGTTATAATCATGGTCGTGGTTGTTATAATCATGGTCGTGGTTGTTATAACTGGCGGTCGGGTTATAATCATGGTCGTGGTTATAATCATTGTCGTGGTTGTTATAATAATGGTAGTGGTTGTTATAATCATGGTCGTGGTTGTTATAATCATGGTCGTGGTTATAATCATTGTCGTGGTTGTTATAATAATGGTAGTGGTTGTTATAATCATGGTCGTGGTTGTTATAATCATGGACGTGATTGTTACAATAAGGGTCGTACCTGAGACTAACACAGGTAGAATAAACCCCACACCTAATCTTTAATCTCAATAAACCCAGATTTAACTCACCTAAACAGGATTAGAGACCATTAGGATTGTACCACCAATACCGATACATTTCACACTGGATTAATAACAAAACATTTAATCACATTTCCAATAGCTAATGTCTTACGAATACTGTAAGTATCTAGTATACTATAGGAAGAAACAGAATAAAGGTTAGAATAATTAGTTAAAGAAATATTCGCCATAAGGAGAGGTTAAAATCATAAACAAAAATTATGAATTACCGATGATCATTCCGAGATAAATTATATTATGAAGAGAAGTGACCTTGATTCTGGTTAGATTAGTCACCATCTGCTTAGGTCATCACCTGTGTTAAGTCATCATAGTCATCAACTACGTTAGTCAGTTTTAGGCCCATCTCACATGACTGACCGACCATCGATGTTCTTTCCGCAGTTATGGTCAATTTCGTGTTATTCTTGTTTATAAATGCCTTCTAATCTGTCTCAAGTCTATCCGTCCTGTCTATTGCCATCCCAACTGTCTGTTCGTCTGCGAGGTGTTTGAATGTAAGCCCGTCTGTACTCTTTGTGTCGTCAAATCTGTCTGTCTTATCCGTTGTTGGCGTGTGTCTGCCTGTTTGTCTAATGTGAACCAGTCAGTCAGCTGTCTGTCTGTCATGTTAGTTGCCATATTGTCTATTTGTGCATGTATGAATCTGTCTATTTTTGTCAACCTCCTGTCTGTTTCACTGTCTAGTTTCACCCTGTGTAGTCATGTCTGTCTGTCTGTATGTATGTGTCTGTTATCTTTGTCTTTCATAAGTCTGTCTATCTGTCTGTCTTTCTATGTGTCCTTGAATCTGTCTGTATTATGTCTTTTGTGTGTCTGCTTCTCTCTCTCTCCAGTTTTATCCGTACTATCTCTATCTCTATCTTTATTTATATATCTCTATGTCTCTCCATTACACTACTCATCATATTTGGCACTTTTTCTTCCTTATTAAATAGGTGATTTTAATATGGTATTCTGGGAACTCTAAAAAACACATCCCTCCATTCATACCTCCACCTATACCTCCACCTCTCACTATCCCTCTCTCCCATCTCCTTTTCTCCTTCTCTTCTCCCATTCTATCTTCTCCATGCATTCCTGTTATTATGTTTTTATCTCTTCTCCTTTTCCATGTACAGTCAGCCACAGGAATAAGTATACACTGTAGCCTCGTAAAGTCCGAAAATGCTCTGGTAATGTTGAAACTGCGCATCCAGACGCATGATGAAACTCAGCTCCCCCCACCTGTTATCTCTAACTATTTTTGTTTCCCCTTCTTTATTCTTCTATTTACTCATCTTCCTTCCTTTACTAATCCAAACAACATTAAAAAAAAGTAGGCTAAGAGAAAAAGTGGGGGGAGGAGGAGGGAGCCGTACGATAACTGCAATCGTCCGGCCGGCTGACGGCGTACAACGACATCTTTTGCCAGTGTAAATAAAATGCCTTCCTAAAGAAACCATCGTCATGGGACCAGGTTTGTTCCACTCTACGAATTTCTTGCGATTTTTCCACCAAGTTTAATGAAAAACGATTGTGCCGTTTCGGCTGCCCAGAACAGATAGACAGACAGACAGACGCCTAGTCCTATAGTATATTATATATATATATATATATATATATATATATATATATATATATATATATATATATATATATATAATGATTCACTTCTCTTATAGTAAGATTCCCACGTATTGGCGACAGTATCATATAAGTACACAAGTAAAGGAATGTATGTAAGGTAAAGTCAGCCAAAGATGCACGGACCCCACCCTGGGTCTTGTGCTAGTAATTTTACCTGGCAATACTTGGTAAAGGAAGGCTGTATGTTAAGGTGATTGTGATTGGTGGATCTGTTTTCGGCTGTATCACTGTCAGGATAATTATTAAAGCAGTGGTTCTTAACGTTTTTACTACCACGCCCCCTCTAGGAATTGGTCCTTCCCTCCACGCCCCCCTTGCATCTATGAACAAAACATAAGGCACGTGTAAGGTAAGATAAACATCACCACGTGCTCATGAACACCACAACATCATGATAATCACAACCACATGATCAATAACAAACATATGATCGTAAAGTTCGTAAACACTACAAGTGACTACAATCATACATGATCATAAACACCACCATATCATTAACAAACATCACATGATCATAAACACCACATGATTATTAACAAACATCAATGATCACAACATGATTATAAGCACCACTACATGATCATAAACACCACCACATAATTATTAAGTAAATATTAACAAACACCACAACATTATAGTAAACACATCATTATCATAAACACATCATTATTAAGAAACAAATCAATATCATCATAAATACAACTTTACCATAACCACCTGTTACCACCACATGATTTTAAGCACCACCAACTTCTGATAAAATACAAACGGAATTCAAAACTTGCGAATAACAAACAGAGCAACACATGCATGTTCACAAGTCACCAATAAACTTATGGCTGCTTAATATAACAACTGGGATAAAACATACCTCAACAGACTTAACTGAATAAATGTGAGAGAAGAGGAATTATTGCCACGGACGTGTGGAGAAGACTGGGAGAGAACGGGGCTCACCAGTCACCAACGAGCAGTATACAGGTCCAGGACGAGTTAACCCCCCCCCCCCCCATGGGTTTCGAGGGATAGGGAGGGGGGTCAATAAGTACAGAAAATGGTAAGGCCTAAGTAAAAAAAGTAGCCTATAGAAAACTGAAGTTATAAGGCGATACTTTTGCATTTTTTCATAAACTTCTCAATATTAGCCCACGCTCTTCTTAAGAGAATATAAACTAAAATTATAATTAGAGAAATTCCTACTTTTTCCCTAGAGCTTGCGCCCCCCCTAGGGGGGCGCGCCCCTCAGGTTAAGAACCACTGTATTAAAGAAACCAAAGGTAGAATTTTTTAAATAATAAACTATTCATTGCTTTTTAAGGTCATGAAAAGTTTCCAACTGTTCGTATATTTGTTTAAATAGTGAAGAAAATTTGATGGGAGAATTTTGTGGCAGCTGTGGTTGTGTTGAGTTGCCACTTTATTTATATAATTTTCTTTATTATTCAAACAAATATACTTCTTGAACGTCAGGATAATAAACTTGAAATTAATACTATTATTTTTTTTTCTTGGGGGGGGGGGTGCTTTTATTTACAAATTGTCACACGAGAAAAGTCAAGATGAGGACTATCATTTTGTCAATGCACAAATTGCACAAACGTAACGAAAGTCTCTCTTATGATAAACATCAATTCAATGTTACTCCTCCACTTACTCCCTTTCTTCTGACGTTGTTATAGCCGGAGTTCACCATGTTCCTGGGGCAAGAGGTGGTGGAGCAGCTGAAGTCTCTGGGCTCAAATTTCGCCGATCGTCTGGCAAAGTACGAATCGTGGTGCCTGGTGGCGCAGAAGGGGGTGGGTGTGTTGCACGAGGTCCTCACCACCGTCACTCACAGCCTTGGGAGCCAAGCAGCGGACGCTTCCCCCACCTTCCTCCAGCTGATGGTACCCCTCACACAAGGTAACTCACTAGTACATGCATGTCAAGATGATGGACCTGCTGTTAATGTTAACTTACTATAGCAAGATTTATAATCTACACCATTTTCAGAAGGCCTATACTCTACCTAGTCTTAGCAACGTGACACATAAACAGTTCCAAACAAGGTCTTTCTCAAAACAAGGGATGTCAAACAGTCTCACCAAGGCTCTGGGATACATTGATATTTTATATCTTGCTATCATCTGATAATAATAATTATCATGTATTATTCTGTCCTCTCTGAAAGAATATAAATTACTTTGCTTAACGTTGAGGTAGTTTATTATTATTGTAGCCGCTCACGGCCAGACTGCGGTATTACACGATAATGTTTATTCGGTCATACCTGGAAATACATGTCCCACTGTCAGTTGTAAGTACCAAACACACAAACAGTATCCATCATATTTAATTCACGTCTAGTGATAATAACAATTACGTGATTAACCTTCCAATTTGGCTTAATTCTGAATACAATAAAACAATTGTTCAACACCCACTTGTGACGGGTCTGTTGGTATAACATGCGTGAGTACAATGGCAGACGATTAGGGGTGAGTTATCACCGTACACTGAACTCTGTGGTTTCCACAGACTATCACAGTATGTTTGAGTTAGTCACTGATGCACAGTTGCTTGATAATAGTTAGAAGTCGTCTCTGGACAAAGTAATTTTTTTTTTTAGATTGCCCCCGAGGGGGCTAGTTTATTGAGCACCCCCTTACATCCTGTGCAAGGTGAAGCGCAGAAGCGTTTACAGCGCCCATCTGGGAAGCATGCGGAGTTCATGCTTGCCTTTATGACTCATGCATTAAGGGCGTAAAAGCCTGAACGGTCATGGGTTTTGTCAGCAAGTTACATAAAGTGACAGAATGATGAGTGTGTGGGGGGAAAATTCCCGGTACAATTTATCTGTTTATGGCAAAGCGTGGCAGGTCCCTAATAATGTCAGGTGCCAGGCCATAGGCATTGACAGTATTGAGGGACATACCTTTTAGTGTGATTGTGATGGAGTGTACGTCGGTAGTGTCGGCTTCAAGGGGGATGTTGAGAGGTTGGAAGGGGATGTCCTTCTTGGCGTAGATACGTAGTCCACTATCATGTCCGCATGGTGGTCAATTGATGTGGAGAACTGGAGTGGATGGGCCCCAGGTGCCGGCATGCCGGTGGGGGACGAGGAGCCGGGGGTGGTGTCCTCGGGTCCATGAGAGAGCGATGGGTGGACGGGGGCAGCCGGGCACACCGGGGCAGGCTCGGTAGCGTGGACGCCAGCAGTGGTGCCAGGAGGCGGTGGAGTAGGCCGTGAGCATGAGGGGCACACAGGGGGGCTACCAGATTGTGTCAAACCAGAAGAGGGGGGTGACTGGGTAGCAGCTGTAGGCAGGGGTAGTCTGTGTAGGTTGGAGATGGCGGTACAGAGTGTATCAAAGAGTCTTTCACTACGGTTGGTAAATTCGTGTAAGAGGGATATGATCTGTGTCGCGTAACCGGAGGGGGGTTGTGGGGTGGGTCAACGGTGGGAGCACAAGGCCTGACAGCGTCAGAGTAGAGACGGGGAGGAGGCCTAGTAGTAGTTGAGTTAGTAGACGGCCGGGACTGCTGTGTTGCAGCCAGGTGAGGCCAGGCAGGGGCAGGTGTTGTTGAAGAAGGCGTTGCTGGAGACAGAGGGTACGCAGAGGGATGTGGCTCGGTAGGCTTGGGGGGGGGAGGTTGAGGTTGACGCAGCCTTAGGGGAGTCTTTTCTCCTGGGACAAACGGACGTTTGGGGCATTGTCGTGAGGCAGCGTTGTGCCAGCCACCACAATCACAACACCTGGGGTCAACAACATAGCCCACACCACCCCCATTGAGGTGGTCTTTAATTTTTTGGGCACAGACGGAGGAGTGGTGGTTATGTGAACAGAAGCGACATCTGGGACGATCACGTAGGCAACAGGCGGTGAAGGTGTGACCCCAATGGGAGCAGATGACACAAAAAGCAGGCCCGGGGTGATAGGGTTCTGCATACAGTGGAGGGAGGACTTGGTGGGCCTCAACAGTGGTTGGGCACTTCCTCCCCTTCCATTTAACTATGACAGCTGCTTCTGGGGTCTTACCTCGGTAGTGTTGACGTATACTGAGTATACGTGGATTAAAGTGACGAGCATCTTCCACTTCAGCGTATAGACCTCAGGTGTCTGACACTTGATAAAGTTACGGTTCTTACTTTTTCGTAATTGAATGGTAAGACCGTGTTGTCTCCAACACTTTGTTGTCCAATTAAACCGTTCCTCGACGGTTTTCAATGAGTTCTTAGGGAAGTGCAGATACATCTTACTCGGTTGGTTGGCAAAGGGGTGGGTAGCGAGGGGAAGCTCGCTGCCCTTGGCATTGGTGTTGCCTCTCTGGCAAGTGTTTCCCATAGAAACATTACTGTTACTGTCACCATCACTGAGGTCTGACTCTTGCCGGGTGTGGGATGCACTCTGACTATCTGTGCCAGAAATGTCTGTATCCATGAGAGAGGGGACGCCTCTTCTGGGGAGCTTACTTCGACACTCCCCCATCGCTGGCAACACTTGGCGGCGAAAGGGTAGGTAGAGACTGAGGTGGCCTTCGTGTGACGATCGGGAGGAAAGGAGCACCTATGGGCACACGTCTGTCCCCTTATGTGGTCAGACTGCGACTGTGGACAAAGTACTAGACAACCTAGTCTGCTCAGTGCACTACACACACTGACCCTCGTATGTTTACTATATATATACTGGCACTAGTCCTTATCCGAGTGCTAATGGATGTGGCGCTGACGAAGCTAAGACCTGACTGAATTACTCAGAATAGGCAAACTGTACTACAAGCTTTGTCAATATTTTTTTTTAAACTAAATTGCCACATCGCATGTCCCATGAGATGCGGTAAGAATTATTATTATTATTATTATTTTTATACATGGATTTATGTTGGCAGTGTTTTAAACTGCTATTTTCAAATATATAGTATTATCAAAGTGTGTGTGTGTGTCATCTGTTGAAAAGGCTAGCCAACCTGAACTACAGGCAACAGGGGTGCCGGAGGGTGGGGGACGGCTATACAATTACAAGAGGACAGTGGTGTGTTTCTTTTTTAGGGGGGTCGATTATGAGATTCTGAAATTTTAGAACAAAAATTACCGATTTAACAAACAGGGAAACATAAGTGGGGCGGCAGTCATGAGTACTTCTCATGCCATGCGGCGTGATCAAGCCTTTGTGAGCAGTGCACCACGAGGGGGAGTCAGACACTAAGTGACCAACTGACGCCATGAGGCCTACGAAATGTATTTTGTCAAATTAATTCATACACTGTTGGCGAAGTTAAAAGCCAGCTGGAGTTAAGTACACCTGGTTGTAATGATCTGGCATACCTGGGCAGGATTGCTTCTGTTGCTCTCCCTCTCACGTATACAGTATACGTAAGAAAACCCTGCCCCTGCATGCAGCATGAGTGAATGGAAATATTGATGGGCTATGGGAGACAGGAATTCCCATGGTGCGAGTGAGTAGAATACTACTGTATGCCTACAGAGTATCAGTGCTGATTCTTGTACTATGAACAGTCAACAAAAAAAAAAAAAATTCTGCACCTTTATGGTGTTTTACAATTTGACACACCGGACCAAGAAATCTGAACAACACTCATTTACGCGGGTGATTCCTGTTAATTTATCTTTATTAACTATATGTGATATAAAAAATACATCATACTGGTTATATAATGAATCACACAACCAGAAATACTAACCTTCCCAAATTAACATCTCCTCAGTCAGCGATCGTTGCAAAGGCCATCAGACCAAGGGGTGCAGAATATTTTTTTGTCTGACTGTACAGTACCTTCACCTCTCTTCAACAATGGGTGTATTTGGTTTGTTTAACCACGTCCTGGTGTGAAGTTGACGACCCTAATGGTTGATCTTACACTCTGTACGTGGGGGTGCTGAGGATTGTTTTGGTGCTATGCACGTGGTGTAATTTCACTGTAATGGTGTATTCTGAGCCAGTGTCGCTGAGCACGGTTACGGGTATGGTGAAGGAAGCACGCATGACTTATGAACTCAGAAGTAAAGTATAAGGAATTAGTTGGTGAAGGCCCCCCACCATCCCGCTGAGAAGTCATGAGTGGTTCCTCGGTTCTCACATAATTTTGGGCTTATGTATGTGCATGCTGATTGGGCTCTGATGATATCAGGCCGTTATGACATTTTTGTTGTGACACACGGTGTATACAGGGACGTGCACGGGTCTTGGGTAAATATTGGGTCGTTGTGAGCTCACATTGGGACCAGTGTCATTATTTTCCTACTCTGATAATATTGGTGCCTAGTGACGTAAGATATGTTGCGGGATCAAACCAATTGAACTATTGTCCTGTGCAATTAATATTTTTTTTTTTTAGTGCTGTAAGGAAGATGCTGATGATTAATACAAGTGTCATATCATTATCTGCGCGTCTCTTTAACCCCAATCTCAGGAACACCAGTCCAGGTCACAGTAAATACTAAAAGTAACTTTATTGTATTTGTTTGTGCTGATTCGGTATTCTGAGGGGCCCTTTCACTGCATTACCCTCCATTAATCAACCCATTGCCCTTACTTCATCCCTCTCCAAGATATTCGAAACTATCTTAAACTCTCATTTTCTCCGTCACTTTTCAACGCTTTTCTCTTTTGTCGGATCACCAGTATGGCTTTCGTCAGGCGAGATCTACTGGTGATCTGTTCTCCTACTGCACCCATATTTGGTCATTCTCTCTTAGGGATTATGGGGAAACTTTCGTCGTGGCCCTCGACATCTCCAAACTATTTGACAGGGTATGGCACAAGTCTTTGCTTTCTAAACTTCCCTCTTATGGTTTCTCTTCCCCACTTTGTTCTCTAATTTATAGCTTCCTTGAGAATCGATCCATGCAGTTGTTGTCGAGGGATCGATCTCTCGCTCTTTCTCAACCAATAGTGGTGTCCCACAGGGTTCTGTTCTTTAACCTACTCTCTTCCTTCTTTTTATCAATGATCTCCCACCAATCACATTTATTTTCAGGACGCAATCATTCTGCCAAATTCTCGAATAGATATGCTAGGCCTCGCCATTTCCTCTAATATGTCGTGGAAGCCACACATCCACAACATTGCTAAAGCTGCCTTCCGAAAGTTGTGAATGCTGTACAGATGCCGTAGCTACTTCACTCCTGCGCAGTTGCTTCAAGTTTATAAGGGATTTATTCGTCCTAACTTGGAGTACTGCTCTCATATATGGGGTGGCTCTTCTTCTGTCCAACTGTTAGATAGGGTGGAATCAAAGGCATTTCGTCTTATTGACTCTCCTCCTTTAGTTGATAATCTTTCTTCACTTTCTCTTCGCCGCAATGTTGCTTCACTCTCTCACTTTTACAGGTACTTTAACGGGCAATGTTCGGTGGATTTGGCATCCTGTGTACCTCCGACAAGGCCGTGGGCTCGTAACACACGTCTTGCCCGCGGTGCCCGTTTCTCTGTGGATGTCGGTCACACTAGAATAACCCGTTATAGTACATCCTTCTCTCCTCACATAGCCAAACTGTGGAATGCTCTGCCTTCTTCTGTGTTTCCATAGCCATACAATGTCTCACTTCAAAAAGCATGTTTTCCGGCATCTCCGTGGTGTAGATTATTATAATGTTTCTTTTCTATTTCTAATAATATCTTTGTACTCTTATTTTTTCGCCCCACAGGCCCCGTTGTGGGTCGATGCCCGGGTGGGACTATTCCCCTAAGTATGAGGGAGTATGTGTTGGGATAAATTTGGTCCGAGGGCACACAAAGAAATATAGGTTAGACAACCTGTTACTGGCTCGCAGTTCACACATCGTTTAGTTGTACAGTTTGTGAACCATACACAGTACCTGAGTTCTGCTAAAAAAAATACTGATAAGCACCAGTCAACATTGCTTTCCACAGAACGGCAGTGTGGCTGGTATGGTGAGGCGGGGATGCGGGAGCGAGCCACCTTCTGTGAAACTTATGATGGCTACGGCGACTTCTGCAGCTGTGATGACCCGCCCTGGTCACCTGTACCCAAGAACTCCGTAAATATTATTATGCTTAGGTTTATCATCTTCCAGCTTCAACATGGTGTGCAAGGTCTCGGCTTTGCCACCAGTCAAAAGAACTTAAAACACTCTGAACGAACATGTAAAAATTCAACAACAACGTTCTATCACGAGTATCTGGAATATAATATCATTGCTCTTATTAGCCTATAGAAAGATATCGAAAAAAGAATTTCATCCAAATTTGAATCATTGTAGTTGCTGCTGAAATGCGAACCGCAGTGTAAATATAAACTTGCAAATTGTCTAAGAAAAAATATTTGCTTAAATATAAGGAAATCATCCTTCAACTAGCGGGTTTGAATCCAGCTTAAAATTATATTATTGACAGTCGATAAGTATGATTTTGTTTCAAGCAATATCTTTATAGCTTATTTGAGTCTCCGTGTGACGATGACTCTGCTATCAGGTGGAGTACCCGGTGCAGGAGGTGATCCCTGTTGCCATAGTAACAGCTCACCGGCTGCCCCACGTCCTGCGTCAGGTGGGGCAGGCGTGGGCCAGCCCCGGCGGCACTAACACGCCCATCACCATCTACGTCGACGGCCACAACCCTGAGGCGCGAGCACTGGGCGCCCTCCTCAACGTGCCTGTGGTCGAACATGACAACCCAGTCCCTCTTGGTAAATACTGTTATACCTGTGGCTGGTATCTTGGATGCCATTTTGTTCCCTTCGATTATCGTATATGTTTCCGGGTCCTTAGAACAAGGCTCCAGGACACCAGCATACTTTTTCAATTGACCAGGGAATCATTGTTGCTGTTTTACCTAATGCTCCCTCCACGTGTAGTTCCATATCTCCCTCTTACGCTGAGTGTTGTGTCGCACAGGTTCGTCGGCCAGAGTCAACGAGCATATCAAGTTCGCCGTGAGAGAAGTATTCGAAGGGCACCCCACTGCCAATCTCGCTATTATCCTGGAGGATGACCTCGACCTGGCACCTGACTTTATTCCGTTTGTATCAACATAAATATTGTGTATACCTGATTTAGTATACAATGCTTACATATACAGAACTGTACAATCCCACCAAAAGTATCGTCGATGTGGTTCGTGGTTTTGTGAGCAGTGATAGTCTACTGTGTGTGTCAAATTATCTGGTAACACTTTAGTGCAGAGAATTGCCAGAATTTTAAAGTGACCAGTAAATTAAGGTTCATTCCTTCAGATATTTTACAAATGCACGTTGCGAACATTAGAATATTGTCAAGCATTCATGTCAACATACGACGATGCACTGAAGAATATCAAAGCAAATATTTCGTCCAGGATTTGAAATTGTTCAGACAGACAAAATAGCAATACTTCTGTGGGGATAATATAGTACTGTATTGTACAGCTGCCTTAATGTGAACATTTCACCATTTATATTTTTAAATGTACATAATCTAACTGAGAATTTATAGGTGATTCCACGAAAATCTGCTCATATCTGATCATCATAAAAACAGTTCTTGGGGATGGTTTTTCAAGTCAAACCATCAGACCTCTTTTATATGTACTACATATGCCAAAAAAGAGCACTTTACAGTTATTACTTTTTAACGCCAAACAATCCACGGCTATAGTATAAGTAATATTACAAGTTATTTATAAATGTAAAAATACTTTTTTGTCAATATCAAATACTTTCCATCGTACTATCGCAGTTCTCTGCCGAGTCTTGTCTTCTTTTTCACCTTCCACATGTGTCTCAGGTACTTCCACCAGACTGCCCCCCTGTTAACCTCAGACCCGTACCTCATGTTCGTGAATGCTTTCAACTACAACTCTTACGCCCACACCGCCTATGACCCCCGCAGGCTGTACCGCGCCCACGGCATCCCTGGCTATGGCTGGATGACCACTCGCCAGGGGGCCGCTGAAATGCTTGCTAACTGGGTCCCCGTCAACCAGGTGAACTCATGAGACGAGATTTTTTGCCTTTTGTTTTGTAAGATTATTGGCTTATATTATATTCCTGCACCTGTAGTGAATGTCTGTCTATCTCACAGTTACTGTAACAAGCCATACTCTCTCCTTGACGGTGAGACAGACCAACGCGGTGTGGGATTGGTGGGTGAGGGCGAAGGTGATGAGGGATAAGGACATGTTAATGCCGGAGGTGCCCAGGACCCGTCACATGGGAGGCGGCGGCACTCACATCTCGGGCTTCGACCAGGTCCTCTTCTCGAGCCAACCTCTCAACAACCTCTCCCTCGTCCAACTCGATGTAGGCAGGTGGGATATTCGTTGATTCAGAGAGACTTTTTCATATAAAAAACACATATGGCCAGCATCATCATCACCACCACTATCATCATCATCATCACTATCATCATCACCACCACTATCACCATCATCATCACTATCATCATCATCACCACCACTATCATCATCATCATCACTATCATCATCACCACCACTATCATCATCACCACCACTATCATCATCATCATCATCATATTCATCACAAACATAATCATCACCACCATCTTCACGACCATCACACCATCACCATAATAATCATCACCAATATAATCATGAACACCATCACTATCACCGTCATAATAATCATCACCACCATATTCATCAACACCATCACTATCACTACCATAATCATCATCACCGTCATAATCATTACCAACATCATCATTACCACCATAATCACCACCACCATCACCACCATCATCATCACGACCACCATCACCACCACAACAATATCATCACCATCATCACCACCATCACCACTATCATCACCATAATGATCATCATAATCACCATCAGCACCACCATCATCACCATCATCACCACCATAATCATCGCCACCATAACCATCACCACCGTAATCATCAACACCATCACCACCAAAATCACCATCACCATTACCATCACCACCCTCATCATCATCAGTATAATTACCATAAATGTCACCACCACCATAATCATCATCACCACCATTACCATCACCACACCCATCACTACCATCATCATCATCATCTTCACAACCATCACCATCGTCACCATAATCATCACCACCACCACCATTATCATCACCACCATCAACGTGATCGTCATCAACATCATCACTGCAATCATCATCACCAATATCACTATCACCACCATAATAATCACCACAATAAAAACCACCATTATTATCACCACCATTACCACCTTAATCATCACCATTGTTACCAAGATCACCATATATATAAGCTTTGGGTAGAGTTCCCTTTAACTTGGTTTATATATAAATAAGTTGAGGGGTTAAGTTACAACCCAAAATGATCTTTCTCCATTTATTGGTAAAACTATATTGGTCACAGTTTATTAGTAGATGCACTGTAATTAACACTGTAAGCTGTGAGTGTTAGTTAAGGACGGGGGCTCAGCTTGACTGAGTTAAGTCACCCGTCCGATTCTCGTGAGGCTCAAGTGAAGACTGGCGCTCGTGAGGGGAAGCTCTGAAGGGGAGGCTGGGCTGACCCTACATTCTCAAGGTCGGCTTACTGATAGAGGAATTTCCCCTCACGTGAACAGCACATGACAACTCACAGCTTATGGGTGATTGGATTATATAAACTAAATGTAGTAACCAGAATTTATATAATTGTTATTGCCATGAGACAGGGGCTAATACACACCATCATCATCACCATCACCCCATCACAATCATCACCACAATCACCACCATTACTACCATAATCATCACCATCACCACCATACGCATCACCATCATCACCACCATCACCATCATCAGCACCACCATCACCATATTATCACCACCATCATAACCATCATCACAATCACCATCATCATCATCACCATCACCATGATCACCACCATGATCACCACCATCACCATCATCACCATTATCACCATCGTCATCATCATGATCACCACCATTATTACCACCATCATTATTATTACCATCACCATTATCATCAACACCATCATCACCACCATCATCATCACAACTATGACCTCCATCATCACCACCATCATCATAATCACCATCACCATCTTCACCATTCCCACCTTCACCACCATCACCACCATCTTCATCACCACCATCACAACCATAATCAGCACCACCATCATCACCACCATCACCATCATCACCATCATTATCCCCACCACCACCACCACCAACACCACCATTATCATCATCATCATCATCATCATTATTACCAATATTACCACCATTACCATCATCATCACCACCACCACTATCACCTTCACCACCAGCATCATCATCATCATCACCATCGCCATCTTGACCATTAACACCTTCACTACCATCACCATCATCCTCACCATCACAACCATAATCAGCACCGCAATCAACACCATTATTACCATCATTAAAACCACCACCATCATCATCACCACCATTATCATCACCACCACCTCCATCACCACCATCACCATCATTATCACCATCATCACCACCATTATCACCACCATCATAATCATAATTACATAAGAACATAAGAATTGAGGAAACTGCAGCGGATTGTCCCATACTGGGCAGTCCCATTTACACCCAGCCCCTATCGCTCATATATCCATCCATCCTATGTTTGAAGCTATCCAGAGTATTCGAGCTAATGATGATATTTGGTAACTTGCTTCGCTCATCCACTGCTCTATTTCCAAACCAATATTTACCTATCTAGCGCCTAAATCTAAATTTGTCTAATTTAAAAGCATTGTTACGAGTTCGCTCCATGTTGGACACTTTGAGTACCTTTGCTTGGCCCTGACTTTCAATTATACACCTCGATCATATCGCCCCTCACTCTACGGCTCTCGAGAAAGTGCATATTGAATGTTTTAACCTGTCTCTGTACTCAAGGTTCATAATGCCCAGGAATAATCTTGCCCATTCTCCCTGAATTCTTTCTAGGGATTCTATATCCATTCGGCGAGGTCTCACAGGCGCAAGATATAGTTTTAGGATGACCTCGCTAGTCTTGTAACTAACACTCCTTCGTATGAACCCAAGTACTTTGTTAGCCTTGTTTCGAGCAAATACACATTGCTTACTTGGTTTAAGATTCGTACTTATCATTACTCCTAAATCTCTCTCACAGTCGGATTTCTCTATAACAACGTTGTTCATCTGATATCTGGTTTCTCTGTTTATATCTCCTAGACTAAGTACTTTACATTTATCCACTTAAATTTCATCTGCCACTTTTCAGACCATTCGAAAAATTTGTTTAGATCTTCCTGTAGTTTTTACGGAGTCCTCGTGTGATTTAATTACACGCCATATTTTAGTGTCATCAACAAATTTACTTATGTTGCTGTCTACACCTATATCTATGTCGTTTATGTATATAATAAAGTATCATGGTCCAATTACTGAGCCTTGTGGTACTCCACTAGTGACGCTACTCGAATCGGATTTAGTGCCGTTAATGCTTACTTGCTGTTTCCCGTCCTGTCACCACTCCCTAATCCATTTTAGAATATCTCCTCCAATGCCATGAGCCTCCACTTTTCTTATTAGTCTTTTGTGGGGGACTCTGTTGAAGGCTTTACTAAAGTCGAGATATACCACATCATAATCGTGCCCGTCGTCCACTGATTCGAAAACAGCAGAAACAAATGTAAATAGATTGGTCAGACATGAACGCCAACTTGTGAAGCAATGTTGGGAATCATTGATCAACTTGTTTTAGGTGATTTCGAATAGTTTGAAATTAATGCTTCCAGCAATTTGCCTACAATTTGTCTTAAACTGATTGGACGGTAGTTAGAGGATAATCTCCTTCTTGAAAATCGGTATCACATTCGCGATCCTCCAGGATTCTGGTACTGCACCCGTTTTTAATGATATTTAAAACAAATTTAATAAGGGCATACTAAGCTCTTCCATACATTCCTTTAATACTCTGGCAAATATCTCATTGGGACCCGGTGACTTATTAGGCTTTAGCTTGTCTATTTGCTTACTAACATCGTTACCTATAGTCACTACTATCTCGCTTAATCTATTTCCTTAGCTATCTCAGTTTATAGTCGGTGCCTCGGGTATCATGTTTAAATTTTCGGTGGTGAAAACTGTTGAAAACAATCTATTCAGATTAGTGCTCATTTCTCCATCGTCATCCGTTAGTTCGCCGGTATCTGACTGTATTGGTCCAATCTTGTCTCGTGTTTCAGTTTGTTAAATTTGAAAGAAATCCTTGGGGTTTGACTTCGCCTCCCTTGCTATCTTCAGTTCATTATTCCTCTTTGCTTTTCTTATCTCGGTCTTAACCCTACTGGCCAATACCTTATAATAATCTCGGAGGTAAACTTCACCATGATTTAATCTCCTACCTTTAGCTTTTCTTTGTCTAATAATATTCTTTAAATATTTATTTATCCATTTGAGGTCATTGTTATTTGATCTTAGTTTTCTGTATGGTATGTTCTGCCTTTGTGCATTAAGTAACTCATTATTTAAATTGTTGTGGAACTTGTCAATCTCAGATATCTCGTGATCATTTCATCCTCAACCGTCATATTTTGTGAGGTTATCGTTGTCATGTCTCCAAATAAAGTGAGGTTGCCCTCTGTGGGTACATTGTGTGAGATCACCACATGAGAGGTCAAGTAATTCACCCCCGAAAGTGATACCCCTTCTCTCAGCTGCCTTTTCACACTATCAAAGTTTTCCCTTCTGAAATCTGGGACTTAAATGGAATTTTCCTTGTGACTGAAATTAAATTCTAATTTGAATATACTTCTTTGTGATCGCTGTTAGCTAGTTCGTTCCCTGCCTCAACATTACTGATGTGATTTTCTCTGTTTCACAGAACTAAATCGAATTTATTATTATCCCTGGTAGGTTCGGCTATATAGTATGTTGACTTAGGTAACAGTCCTGAATTGTTTCAAGAAAATCCTCTGATTCTGAGTTACCCGTAAGTTGGTCCTGCAAATTTCATCCCAAATAAACTCTATATATCACTCCCATGAATACTTTTTCCTTACCATCGGTTAGTTCTATCCAAATTGTTTCTGTATGCAGTTTAATTTTTATTTCCTAATTTATTTCACACTTTAGATTATCCCTGACATAGATTGCTACTCCGCCTCCTTTCCTAATCTGCCTATCGGGATGAAATAATTTGTAACCTGCGATTTGGTATTCGACAATCACATGAGTCTTTAACCATATTTCGGTGAATGCTCTTATATCGATTTTTTCGGTACATACCAACGCCCTGATTTCATCCATTTTGTTTCTCATGCTTCTATTGTTTGTGTTGTAAACAATTAAGTTAGTCGTGTTCTGAGTCCTGTTTTTTTCGCGTTTAGGTTTTAACTCCTTGCCTAATTTAGTTTTGTCATCATTCCTAGCACTATTTCTCTGTAACCTTTCACTTTGTTTACCCGCTCCCACTGCAGTCTCCTCGATTCCCGTGCTCACATGTTCCCCAAGCAGTTTAAAGAATTTGACATCTTTTGAACTGCCCTCTCGAGAGAGCAGGTTGCCACCCCATCCCTAGGCATCATCACACACTATCACCACCCTTGTCATCACTATCACCAGCGTGTATTAACCCACTACTGGATGAAGGACTTCATTTGTTTCGCCAAATAAAAAGCCTGACCCTGAACACAATAAATATACTCAGGAGGAATCACTATCTTAATGTTTAGCTCAGCAACACCAACTTACTAATATAGAAAAGAATTACAGAGAAAGACCTATGACTGAAATTTACCTCAAGAAATATCAACCTGAGATTTTGTTAAGTAAATCCAAATAATTAGGGTAAAACTCATCAAAACGAGGTGAGTAGACTTTAGGGAGACTGAGCGGGGTTAGTGATGATATCGAGGATGTTTGTGTTGGCAGCGCTAAGGAGGGCAACTACGAGTTCCACATCCGGAAGGAGATGAGTTCAGCCCAAGTGGTGACCCTAACCCACCATCCCTCAGGTCACACCACTACCCATGCACAAGGTCAGTCATACTCTCCACTTCTGTAAATCACCACCGAGACTTGTTTATTGTCACCAACACGTCAATATATTGATCCATGCTGCTATATAATTTAGATACGCTAAATAACTTTCCTTATAATGAAATAAATAACAAAATCAACTCCAGAAATGATAAGATTCTCCTCACTAGCCTCTTATATATATATATATATATATATATATATATATATATATATATATATATATATATATATATATATATATATATATATATATATATATTAATATATATATATATATATATATATATATATATATATATATATGTATATATATATATAATATACATATATATATATATATATATGTATATATATATACATATATATATATATATATATATATATATATACATATATATATATATATATATATATATTATATATATATATATATAACATATATATATATATATATATATATATATATATATATATATATATATATATATATATATATATATATATATCAGTTCATTGACTTCACATTCCCTCTTCCCTTCATAATTCACTGAATTTTCACACATCTCTCACTCCCTCTCTCAGCATCACCTAATCAACCTAGCACCTTCCCCTCCTTTTCCAGACCAACAAGACCTACCTGCTGTACATCTACCAACCTGGTGAGAACCGGAAACACAAAGCGTACGAAGTCGTCGCCGTGGTAAGTGACCTCAAACAAATACACACACGACCTAACAAAGGCTAAAAGATCAGTTCTTTTTTCAAATACTGTAAAAAAATATCAGATTAATAATGACAAAACCGTATATATTCACTGAACGTTTCGGAACATTATTTATTCCATCCTCAGAGCAGAACCTCAAGGGACAAGTTCTCCAATTACATGTGTTTATAAATATGATTAAAACGAAGAATTAAACATTGTTGTAAAAACACAAACAATAACATCAATAAATACAAAGTTGGGACAAAAATAAATGCCTGTTTGATTGTCAGAACAAGTCTTAAAATACTGCATGCACAATATATCTTATCATTATGAGATCTAAAACTTAAAATAACATACAATAGCATCCATATTAAAAGTTTAATACGACAAAATTAAAACGGTAAATTATCAATTGCTAAAATCTTATACATTCAACAAGGCAAACCAGATCACATAGAGTAGCAGAAACTACCTTAGCACTTGAACGTCTTCACTAATGTGTCTCGTACAACATGTTAAGACTTGTTCTGTCAATGAAACAGGCCTTTGTTTTTGTCCCGATTTTATATTTATTGATGTTATTGTTTGTGTTTTTATAACAATGTTTAATTCTTCGTTTTAATCATATTTATAAACACATGTAACTGGAGAACTTTGTCTCTTTAGGCTTTGCTCTGAGGATGGAATAAATATTCCCGAAACATAAGGCGATTGAATTAATCAACTCAGCACTCAATATGTTTGTAACTTCAATGGTTTTCCTCTTAATTATCAAACTATATTTTCCACATAACAAGTCTCTCTCTCTCTCTCTCTCTCTCTCTCTCTCTCTCACACAACCAATCAACCATAACACTTCCTCTCCACTAGTGTCTAGGCATCAACGACCGGGACATACACGAGAACCTACGGATGATGATACCTTCCCTTTCTACGGCAACCAGGTGTACCTTGTCGCCTGCCCCCACTCACCTTACTGGTGCGTCAAGCAGTTGTCAAGTTTAACCTTGAGTAAAGCTGTGTTCATTTAGGTTATCTCAGCTTAGTTCAGGTTAAATTTGGTTAATGTCAGGTGAAATTAGTATATCTAGTTTATCCCCAATACTACAGGTAAGTTACTTTTGATATTTTATTTGGTCAATGCCATACAAAGTGGTTATTAGACCATTTCTTCTAAGTTAAATTATGTTATCTCAGTTGAGTTTTTATTAAATTCGGGTAGGTTTGGTTAAATTAGGTTAAGTAACATGGTAAGTATCGTTGATTAAGTAAAGGAGGTGCTAGTTAAATCAGATTAAGCTAGGTTAACGTACAGTACCTTAGGTTACTTAGATAAGATTATGGTTGGAAAAGTAAATGTTAAGTTAAGTAGCAACATGTTTGTTTAAGTTAGGATAAATAGCGTCAGATTAGTTAAGGAAGGTTAGGTTAGGCTAAGGAATGTTGGATTAGGTTAAGGAAGGTTGAATTAGGTTAAGGCAGTTAGGCTAAGGAAGGTTGAATTAGGTTGGGGCAGATTAGGTTAGGTTAGGATAGGTTACGTTAGGTTAGGCTAGGCTTGGTTAGGTTAGGTTATGACGTATAACGTTGTATTTTACACCTTACCTCATCATTATCATTATTATAATTGATAGTAATAACTAGAATTAGTAATTAACAGAAACATAAAACATATTTAAGTACTTGTCAGTTAATACGAAATTGCAACACTGTATTTGCACTTAACAGTGAATATTAAACTTTCTGAATAGTCGCCCTCACCCGCAGCCGACCGAACAACAAACGGATGGTCTACAAGGCGACCCAGGACGACGCTGACTTCGCCAGAGAGAGTACCTCCTTCAAACCGCCTCTCAGGATTAACTACGCCCTCAGGGTTCCCTCTCGGGACCCCCAACAGGAGTTTAACTTACTAAATCGACAAGTTGTGGATTATACCACAGGGGGATGACACGCTCATGAACGACCTAAGTGGAGATAGTCTACTAAGTAAATGTAATCTTCTAGACTAGACTCAAACCTGCTTCAGAGGCAAAGGCCAGCACCGTAAACAGAAGGTCCATAAGGGCTTATTTTCCTTCTTAGAAGGCGAATGGTGACGTTGTACAAGCTCTTGGAACACAACCATTCAGGAACATTACTAAGAAGTTTCATTATAAATTAAACTAGTGGTTTGGGATAGTTTTTATAGGTAGCCATATTGAATGACGCATGCTAAGTTTGGACAAATTTCTGAAAAAGGATCAGGATTTTTTTTTTTTGAGTGGAGCGGTCGATTAGATACAGTGCTCGCCTCCTGTCCCATGGGTCGTTGGTTCGATTACCGGACACTCCCGGTTCCCCCAGCTGTGAATGGGTACCTATGTTTACAATTTGGGGAAGTGAATGCGGTCGAGAATAATACCGACCATGCTGGCTGCTTGTGTCTCGAAGGCTTAGTAAACGGTGCGCTGTACCTACACCGTACCTACCGGGCCAGTCAATGATCATTTTAAGAAAGTTTTGAAAAAAATCGAGGCAGTGGTTCTTTAGAAGTCGACCACAGCTACTGACCATTCTGTTAAATTTAAGCAAAGGACGACTGAAATTTAACCGCTGCCTGTGTTAAATCGCACTTGAAAAAACTTCTTCCACCCGCGAAAATTTCTCAACAGTCAGGTCAAGGGAGCCTGGGCTGAGTTAGGACACTAACACAAGATCCTGACAACACCTGACACCCTCCCTCCTCAGTGAAACACCCGAGTGAGTTACACCATATGTACAGTCAACAAAATTAATTTTCTGCACCATAATGGTGTTATACAATATTACACACCGGACCAAGAATTCTGAACAACACCCATTTTCGCGGGTGATTCTTGTTAATTTATCTTTATTAACTATATGTGATGTAAAAAAAATTCATCATACTGGTTATACAATGAATCACACAACCAGAAATACCAACCTTACCAAATTAACATGGCCTCAGTCAGTGATCGTTGCGAAGGCCATCAGACCAAGGGGTGCAGAACGGTTTTTTTTTTTTTTTGCTGACTGAACAATACACTTGAGCTCTGACAGAGTATGGATGTTAGATGAAGAAGTGATCTACTCGCCTCAGGAATGTCTGTTTATTTGAAATATCACTTTTGCTATTGTATGTTCCTTTGGTGTAATATAGTGTCCTGAGAACTGTGTGCTTACCACCTATATCCTGTTGCAGTAAGATGTAACCCATGAACAATTACATGTAGCCCATGAACAACGAGATGTGTCCCATTAACAATAAGATGTATCACATGAACAACAGATGTAACCCATGAACAATAAGATGTATCACATGAACAACGAGATGTGTCCCATGAACAATAAGATGTATCACATGAACAACGAGATGTAACCCATGAACAATAAGATGTATCACATGAACAACGAGATGTAACCCATGAACAATAAGATGTATCACATGAACAACGAGATGTAACCCATGAACAATAAGATGTATCACATGAACAACGAGATGTAACCCATGAACAATAAGATGTATCACATGAACAACGAGATGTAACCCATGAACAATAAGATGTATCACATGAACAACGAGATGTAACCCATGAACAATAAGATGTATCCCATGAACAACAAAATGTATCTCATGAAAAGCAACGTAATAAATATGTATTTTATTTCCTTTGTTTTATTTCTAATTTCTATTAATTTGCTTACTTTTACTCTTTCTTCATTCTCTAATTCTGTTTTTTAATCCTTAATCTTTCTTTCTTTGTTCTTTATACTATAGTGCGTCCCCTCTGTTCGATTTCGTCCTGAAGTAATGATGTATTTCTAAATGAGTTTATTCATAATCGTTGGGATGACCGTTTCTGACGAGAAAGATATTTAGCTAAATTACATATAGAGACATACATTCATTATATAAAACAGGGGCACGTAGGAAGTTTATCAGAAATCTTATACATGAAATAACTGTTAAACTCTAGTAACAAATTCACGCTTTCAGAGGACGCATTTAATATACTGTATACGTATTTTTACTCACAATAAGGCATACTAAGACAAATTCCAGCCAGTAAATCTACATTATGCAAAAAGTAACATTTTAAAAGATCAGAATCACACTAGAATATGAAGTTGTTCAGTTATATTTCCCGCCTCTGCTGACTGCTGTTCGCTCGAGCGGCCAAGTCTGTCACACTCATCCACCAATTTTCAGGGGCCGTGTAATATTTCAGTGTGATTCTGATCTTTTAAAATGTTACTTTTTGCATAATATAGTTTTACTGATACGTAATTTGTCTTAGTATGCTTTATTATGAATAAAAATAAGCGTATATTAAATGCGTCCTCCGAAAACGTGAATTTGTTACCCCACACACACACTACTACTACTGCTACTTTGCTGTCACTCGGAATCGAGCATGACGATCATCCAGCGTCTTTCTGGCACTAACGCTTGTCTGCCTTGGTATGCAGTCAGGCTAACTCAAAAGTATTGACACCTTCTCGTGTGTTGCTCCTCCAAGTGTTCTGGTAGGGAGTGATTGTCGCCCAGGTGAGGGAGTCGATTTGGCACTTTTTCAGGTTTGCCTTAAGACTATCCTTATAACTTTTCCATTGCCCACGTGCCTTGCACTTACCAATCGTTAGGTGGCTGTAAAGTAGTTGCTATGGCAGTCTACTGCAGTCCATGCAGGTAACATGGCCAGTCCAAAGTAATTGTTCATGGACAATAGTAACCTCAATACTCCTACAGTTGATGTCAGCGAGAATACTGGCATTTGTTCTATTGTCTTCTCAGCGAACTCGGAGGATGGAACGTAGACTAAGTTGGTGAAAGATTTCATGTGCCTTGAGGTGCCTCCTGTATGTAACCCATGTCTCGCTGCCATATAGCAGGGTGGGGAGGACCACTGCTCGATACGAGCTACTTTGTAGATAATTTTAGCTCCATATAGCTGAAGACATGCATAATGAGTCTATCAAAGGCTTGAGACGCACATCTGATACAATGTTGAATCTCTTTATCGATGTCTGCGGTGGTGGACAGGGGAAAGCCGAGATATTGAAAGTGGGTAACATAAGAGAGGGTAGTACCGTTAAGGTGGATGGATGGTGGAGGTGTGGTTGAACCAGGGGCAGCCTGAAAGAGAATCTGAGTCTTATGTACATTCACCTCAAGGCAGAAGTGTGTATGGGCATCTACATAAGTATTCAGGATCTCTTGTAGGTAGCATTCAATGAGAGGGACGAGGGTGAGGTCGTTGGAATACTGAAGTTCAGTAACGGAAGCTACCGACAGTTTGTTCTAGCCTGGAGTCGTCTTATGTTGAAAACTCCCTTCATCCGTTACTGTTTGTCGACCCTGCCAGCTAAATTGGCAGCCAAGAAATGAAAGAGAGTTGGTGCCACTACCCATCCTTGTTTTACCCCTGTTTGGATGGGTAAGAACTCAGACTGGGTGCCATTGTACAGGACACTGCTGTTCTTGCCAATGTGGAGTTGCCTCACAATGGCAAAGCGTTTGGTGGCCTTGGTAAGGTCGATGAAGGCCATGTGCAGATCACAACGCTGTCTCTGCACTTTCCTGTATCTGGCGGCCAGCAAAAATTATGCCAGTAGTGCCACATGATGGTCTAAAGCCACATTGAGATTCTGGGAGGAAGTCTTCCGCCTCAGGAAGAAGTCTGTTTAGGAGGACTCGGGCTATAACCTTACCAGCTACGGGCAGCAGCGAGATCCCGCGGTAGTTGCCACAGTCTGACCGGTCTCCGTTGTTCTTATAAATATTGACGATGGAGGCATCTTTAAGAGTTTGGGGGATTTCCTCCTTTTCCCATATATTCTCCAGGAGAGAGGGGAGATGGCTGGTAAGCAAAGGTCCTCCTGTTTTATACACCTCGGCTGGGATAGCTGAGATAGGTCAGCTCAGGG